CTGGATGTAAATTACCTCAAAAAGACTAACTTCAGACATTGCTGAACTGAGCCAGGTTCTTCGGTTGGATCTGGTAAGAAGGAGGTCCTCCGTATGCAGAAACTCCAGCCAGGGGCACAGAAACAATAATATCAACCCTGCAGCTTTGCTTGATGCAGGGGAGTCACACTAATAATCTGCAGATGTACACAGCATAAATCTGTGCAAATGAGCTTCAACATGCACATGCTGACAACAAGGCACGTAAGGTCTATTGTGAGGAGAAGTATTTCAGAGAGCAGAGGGGGGAGCAGCACAGACATGGACACTGGCTGTCTCCAAAGTATGCAAACAGGACCGCAGGCACATTTGAAAAGCATTAACATAAACATGGTGACAACAGCGAAAGAGCAGCATGAGGATTTGATATGTCACTAACACACTGACATATGGGCAGCCTTGATGGAAAAGGGGTTACATATAGTGTGCAGACCAAGCTTTAAAGGTACAGTCCAAACTTCTGGGAAATTTGCTTCTTTGTACTCATCATACAATGGGACATTGTGTTTTTTTAAGCAGCTGAATTCAACACAATGGAGCTATTGTTCACTAACAGTTGTTTGCTATGAATGTAAGCAGTATGTCAAGAGTACTGTCGCCAGGTGCAGCAACAACTCTGTGTTCACATTTAGTCAGATTGATAGAGTTGTGCATTTTCATGGTTCTGTTGGGAAATCGCAGTTGGGCACATCCCCAATCAACACGTTTTACATAAATCCTTCTATAGACCCTATCAATGAAGAATACAACAGAATGGTTATAGAGTCTATTCCAGTTTATTCCATCAACATGGGTGGCTGTGGCTCAGAAGGTAGAGTAAGTCATCCACTAACCAGTAAGTCAGTGTTTGGATCCCTAGCACCTCCAGTCTGCACATGTTAAGCTAGGCTACACATGCCCCTGACCTACTGTAGCTCTCTACTGGACACACAGAGATGAAATGGATATTGTTATTATTTGCTTCTAGGTTTCACATCAAACACAACATCATACACTAACGTAAGGCTAACCGGAAATATATTTTTTTTGCTCATAAAATCAAGCCCACAGCCATTTTCACCGTGACCCTTCGATACACGTTTTAACCTCACCACTGCCCTGCTAGATCTAATGATAAAATATAGCTGTTCAAAACATCAACAGAAAAGCATCAGATTTTATTGCCGATACTTCAGAGCACAATTTTTTCACAATTCAGTTAAAATACACACAAAATGGGGAGCATCAGTATTAAATCGAACAGAGCCTATTCTGATTAATACATTGATGATGGATGATGATGAAAGCCTTCAAAGGAAGTTATATTGACACTGTTAACTTTTGACACATTGGCTAACATCTAATGTCATAATGAAACATCAGCAACATCAGTGCAAGTTACTTTTCACTTTGAAATATAATCTTATATAAGCCCAGGAGGGGACATTCTGCAACTCTGCCACCTTCTATGTAGTTTCCATCCCTACTTGTGGTCAGACATATTTTTCCAAAGAAATTCCCTCTCACACAAATGTTTTCCGTTTGACTCATAGCAGTCTTGACAACATGATGAATTGCATCAAATTCACCCCCCACCCCACCACCATTCATTCCGCCTAAACAAATGGAAAAGTCATCTCAAAGCTTCAGAAGAATTCTTTGGGGCTAAAACTCCAAACTGGGTGAAAGACAAATCTACCGAGCATCATTGTGAGACTTTCACCATCTTTGGCAAACTCACATTATGCAAATCCCAGTAGAACTTTATATGTACATACAAATTAGGAGAAAGAGGACATTCTGATGTGACTGGTGGTCTTCTTTACTACACTGAACTGTAAAAAAGTATTCCTGGCTCCTGGGGTGGTGACAAATATGTGGTCTGCTCTGTGGTGCTGCCTGCACTCTGCCTACTCTTTCGTAGGATGGTGGTCTCAGTTGTTGACCCTGCCTATACTGTGCGCTTCAGGACTCTATTCAGAGGACCTCTGAGTAACCTGTGACAAACCTGCCATGGCTAAAGGCAGCAACAGCTATAGATCCTCGATTCAAGGACCTCAGGTGCCTTCCAAGAACAGAGTAGAAAAAAGTGTTGCATAATCTGAGTGAGATGTTGCTGAACATCACAGCGCTCCAGAAAGGAACACAAACACCCACCGAAGAACAAGATGGCCATCCAACAAATAGGGTCAATGGTGTTTCTCTTATTAAATAAGTTTGTAATGTATTATAGATGTTGGCAATTCCAAGCCGTCCCTGAGGTGTTTTTTTTTCCCATCAAATTTAAGGATTCGAAATCTAGTTGAGAAATCAGATGATGTATTATAATAATAAAAAAAACAGTTCCCTCTAATCCGTTTTAAGTGCATTTCTTTATTCCAATAACTATAGATTTTACCTACCCTCAAAAAACAGGTAAATACTAGTATTTATACATTGTGATTAATCACAACCCTAACCCAGAGAAAGAGAGAGAGAGAGAGAGACAGAGACAGAGAGAGGTTATAGTAATCAACCACTTATAGTGATTAATTTGGCCCATGATCACTGTGAGCTGTTTCCACTGCATATGAAAAACTGTAATATTTTTATGAGTTTGTTGTGTTTTTAATGAATGCAACGTGAAGTGACTGTACTAGTTTAATAAATAAAATACAATTATTGCGATAATTGTTGCCCCACCCCAAGTTGAGCTGTATACATTGACATAAACAGCACAACTTAATGCTGAGAGCAAAGCAGCATAGAGAGATGAGTGACACTGCACTGTGTCCACCTACCTTTGGAAGATAGATACTTTTATAGATGGATGATTGAGTTTACACTTATATTGTTATCTTTTCGAAAATAATATGATATGACTCTATTAAGGACTGCCACAGTTTCTGTGCAGAACCACCATGAACATTAGTATCAAGAGCTTTTACTTAATTTGAGGCTAAACTTTTGATAAATTACTCAGAGAACTGGAAGGTAGGAGCTTTATGTCACAGGTTTGCTTGGAAAAATGAACACATGAATGTACAACAAATAAATATTTATAGTGTGGACAATAATAGCCTCCAACATGTTTCCACACTAAGCAATAAGAAACCTGGAAAATGTGCCACTGTCGGTGCTTGGTGGAAACAAATCAGCAAAAGATTTTTGGATGGCAGTACAACAGGGGAAAGCTCTGTCTCTAATCTCCTCTGAGTCTGGGGGGGAGGTGTCGCACCCTTTCCCTCACTCACACGTGAATGAGGCGGTAAATGTTGAACAGTGGCAACAAAAAGTGTGAATACAGCAACGAACTGCCAATGACACATTATCGCACTTGATATAAAAAAGGTCCCCACCCCTGGTATATATAATTGTATTGTCAATGTGTTGGTGTAAGAGAGCACAAAAGAGCAAGAGAAAGTGCAAGAGAAAGACCAAGAGTGAGAGAGGCCAGGAGGGGCTCAACTAATCAATACAAATCTCACCAAAGCAAGATTTACATATTAGAAATGGAGAAAAAATAAGGAGTAATTCAAATTGTGGCAACAAATAATGACTGTATACATAACATATCATTTGGCAAACGCTTTTATCCAAAGGGACTTACAATTAGTGCATTCAACATCATCGTCTATGAGGGATCATTTAGGGGTTGAGTAAGGACACTTTGGCATGCAGATGGGGGAGACTGAGGATCCACCGACCCACTGGCTGGAGGACCACCACTCTTCCCCTCAACCACAGCTGCCCCAACCCCAGTGTAAAAATACTTTCAGTTCATTATGATACTTTTAATACCTGAGTTTAGAGCTGTCCACTCATGATGTCTGATGTACACTGATAATCAATGGAGTTCTTCCTTTATATTAAGAAATTTTCATTAGACATTCTTATTACATATTGCATACTTTCAATGCTGACACTCAGATCAATTAATGTAATTACAATTTTTCCTGGAAGTGGATTTCCTCTTATGACATTGAGATCATCTCTTTGTTATTAATGTGGCGATGTTGACTGAGCTGATTCCATTTTCCAGACTTCAGACATCTATTTCAGTACAGCATGCAAGTAATTTTATAGACAGCACAGACTGGCCTAGGAGCTAAAATTCTAAATAACAGTAGTGTGGCCAAGAAAAGACCAACAAAACAGTGTGCATGGGCCAGTCCAAAAGTAATAATACTCATCTTATAAGCCCTCTAAAACTCACAAATGAACACATCTTTTGATAAAATGTTAAAAGGCAATTTTCCACAATATGAAAAATCATATCAAAATAATTTTAAATTTGTGTTTTATTCATGTATTATTCGTTCTTCTCATATTCAATTAGAAAACCAAAATCGGAAAATAAAAAAATAAAAACTATTCATTATTTCGTTCTATACCAAAAAACAAAAAGATTTTTTGCTCAAAACAAAAATAGGAAATGAAAAAATGGGTCACGGGCCAAACTTGATTTTGACATTAAATATTTAGATATAGAGGATCAGTGTGGATAACTCATCTAGCATGCCAGTAACACAACTGATCCGCTTTTCCTACCACCGCCCACCTTCATTTATGTGAGATCAGAGCTGATACATGGATTATTTTAACACACAATCATGATCCACAGTCTGAATTGCAATTTTTTTCAGATTTTGAACTGTACTGTTGAAAATTTTCAGGCTCCGTCCAGCCTATGTATTCAGTGTTAAAGTGACTGGGAGCAACACGCAGACATGATCAGACACCATCAAAAAAAGGAACTAAGTGGTGTATAGGGGAGACGGCAGAATTATATTTCTCCTAGTGCGGCAGAAGTACACGCGCCGGTCCTGAGTATAAGTGGTAATAATCTCATGCAGTTCTCATGCAATTCTCAGCAAGAGAGTAGATAAGTTCACTTTTCCAAAAATATTGCTTTACAAAATCATTGGAATATCCATCAGGATAGAGTATTTAAGATTCTAGAAGTTAAATCATCTTTAAAGTCACTTAAAGACAATACTCACCCTTCTGGTGTTGTCCAGGACCTTGGGGTCAGGCCGGCCGTAATTGGGAGGGTTGGCGTGTGGATCGTAGCCCAGTCTGGACAGCATTGGTGCAATGACAGCCATGTCTCTCACCACATCTGCTGGGATCTTCCCCACCCACTTGGACAAGGCCTCCACATTGACAGGCTTGATGACCTGGTCTGTAGACCTCTCAACCCTAACAAGACACAGGTCAAAATTAGTTGCAAGTTTTTGCTTGGTTGCTGACGTATATGTTTGGAACGCCTAATCAAGGCTTTAATCCCAAGTAGATCAATTTAGCAAACCTTACCCTAACCATATAGTTGTAACTGCATGTGACAAAACTTTCATCATTCTGTTAGCAAATCACACTTTTTAAGTTCTTGGGAGGCAAATGTTATAGAGCCTCTCAATGTTTTGGAATTCATTAATTCTGTTTGATGCACAGACAAAATACATTGAGTGATAATAAGAGGGATAATCCTGGTGAAATAGGTAATATAATATTTAACACTGATTATCATCAAATCAATCAAATTTTTTTGTATAACCCATATTTACGAATCACAATTTGTCTTATAGGGCTTTAACAAGGTGCCCTTAACACTCAAAAACTTCCCCCCAAAAAAAGCCACATGTGGAGGATACCTCTCCCTGGACAGACAGAAGTGCAACAGATGTCATGCGACATGACATAAGCATTCGGAATCAGTGTAATGGCAACATTGTTTCCTCAGTTTGTACTCAAATGGTCCAGCCTATAGCAGACTGGTGCATCTTTCAGTTCTGTACTCTGTGAAGTCAAACCATTTTCAGACATGCCAACAGAATGTGACCAAGCCAGGTTAAATTGTTATTACTTTCTAAAGCAAGTTAAGCATCTTGGTTCTTGTTGTCAGAGTGAAGATGAATACTGCTCAAACTGTCCTTTCACTTCATTAGCCATTGGTTAGAGCATTTTAAAAGGAATCCACCATAATGTCATACCAATGTTAAATTATTCATTGTGTGAAATTAAATATTTAACAAGCAAGGTCATTGGATCTGCTCAGCTGGTTTTTTTTCCTGAAATGAGCAAAGTTTAACAGCACAAGATAATCATTTTAAACAATATTGATTACTGTTGATATACACATTTTGTACTATTTGTGAGGATGTAAACTAATACATAATACACACAATGTGGCAGTGGCTACCACTGCAGGGTATCATTTAATTTCAGTTTAGTAATACATCATATATATAAATCACAAGATTTGTTATTGATCAAAATAATAATTTATTTTCAAATCAATCAATTGATTATCTCCACATGGTGTAAAATTTCTGCTTATTAGGATCATGTCAAGCTATGCAGTGCTACCACTTTCCCCAGAGACAGAGACATTTATCAAAAAACAGTTTATTATTGTTACTGTGGGTATTCTCTTTTTTAGTAATTTGGGATCAAAACAGTGGGGTTGGGGGCAACACGGTGCTTAGAGGTAAAATTTAGTTTTAGTTTATCTCAGTTGGTAAAAGTGGTGCTAGAGCATACATTGTGTGAATTGTGTAATTAATAAATTTTTAGAGGGTTATATGATGTTGTGCACACATCAGACACCTTTATTACTTTATTCCCCTGGCTGTTGTCAAGTTGCTCCCTATCCCCAAAAATGTCTATATACCATCTGCAGTCCAGCTTCTCCATCCGTATGTTTCCTGTTGGACCCTATACCTCAATCTCACAACTCACTTTCCTCTAATCCATTTACTTTGCAATTCAATTTTTACACTCTATGGGTATAGTCTCCTGCATGATTAATAGAGTGAGCTGGTTTTGTCATCTCAGGAGGATGGTGGAGATGGTTTCAGAGACGGGCCGTGATCCAAATATCCACTCTGCAACAAATAGGTAGGGAATCACTTTAGGTAACTCCATCAAGACCCAAGAGGGTACTAAGTGTTGACATGGAACATAAACTGATAAAGACAAAGACTGAGTGTTGCTAACACAGTTCAGCTCCACCAACATGTTAGATGCAGACATCTATCAAATTTAAGGTCTCTCTCTCTCGACCAACATCTAAGAGACTGATCATCAATATTTGCAACCACTGTCATGTCCACGTCTTTCAATTATTTTCTCCATCCTATTTATAACAATGATTCATAAATAACACAAACACCTCTATATTATCCACTACAACTTCACAGCAATGCCAACATGCTGCAGTACAATTAACGATGGCTTCTCTCTGTGTATTAGATCAACAGAAACTCCATTACTTCTCTCTAAGGTTTCTAAGTCTTTTTCCCCTGTTAATAGTGTTACTTGTATCTTAGATCCCATTCCTACAAAATTACTTCAAGAATTTCTGCGCCTAATTAATTTTACTTTACTGAATATAATCAATCTATCATTAACATCAGGATATTTACCACAGTCCTTTAAGCTAGCTGTAATCAAACCCCTTTTCAAAAAACCCACCCTGGACCCAGAGGTTTTAGCCAACTACAGACCAATATCCAACCTCTCTTTCCTGTCCAAAATCCTCGAGACGGTTGTGGCCAATCAGCTATGTGAGTTTCTCCAGCAAAATGATGTATATGAAGACTTTCTGTCAGGGTTTAGAGCTCATCACAGCACAGAGACAGCCTTGGGAAAAGTCACAAACGACCTTCTAATAGCCTCATATCAAGGGTTTGTGTCTGTCCTTGTCCTAATAGATCTTAGTGCAGCATTCGACACTATTGACTTTTCAAAACTTTTGTCAAGTCTTTAAAGAACTAAATAGAACACATCACACAACAGTCATAGTCAGAGCTGAATCTGATGCCAAACATATAAAGGTAAGTTATAACAGTTCAACTGTTCAGCTGTTAGCCATTCACACAAAACAGCGAGCAGAATAACTACACTTATTTATCATCTTTTTAAACATCAAAATGAAGCAGAGCAATGTTCTTTTTAATCAAAGACAACCTCTTTGGCTGAGTACAATAATAAAGTCACTGGCAAAGAACACACTAACCTTATCCAGGAAAAAGCCACGGACAGGTTTAATTTAGTGTATGTCAAACTTGTAAAACTAACATAACATTAGGTTGCAATGTCAAACACTGGAATTGGAAAATTGCATTTAGTCAAAAAAAAATGTTATTAATGTAATGTGACAAAAAAACCTTTCTGCCCTTCCCTTCGTGCTGATGCTCTTTATGGCCTGCAGCTTGTCAATTATTCATTGCCGGGCCTCTTTTACCCAAGGTGGTGTTCTGTATCACCAACAGCTGATAAGAGAGAATAGATAGAGACATCAAGATCGCAAATAGGATAGAGAGTTAGGGAGGAGGGATGGAGTGGCTCTCTGTTCTGGGATAAGTAATGGAGCAAGCCACTCAGCTAGGCAGGCTTTCACTAAATCATAGCCAGGTAATTGATGTTAATGCAAAGACAAGGTCCTGCACTGTGGCCTGGTTCCCCACTTTTGAGATATTCTGCAGAGACCCAAAGCTTTGGGATAGTAGAGAGTGAGGAGTGCTGGTGGTTGCAGTGGATGAGGCATGTCAGGGGGGTTGACTGTAATGCACCAAAGGCAAAGTACTTAAGTGGAGGTGAGGCAAAATGTTTATGATTGTAAAAGGAAGTGACGGCCTCTTGTGGTCGGCCTATTCTCCTCTTTTTTTCAAAGATTATTTTTGGACATTTTGTCCAAACACGAAAATGTGGGTAAGAGAGAGAGCAGAGACATGACATGAATCAAAGATATTTAGGGGGTATTGAAATTGGGTCATTGCCCTTTCTTGAACTAAAAAAGATCATTGTCAGGCAACATGATTTGTTGATCAGACTGACTTGTCTGCAGTGACTGTCATAAGACAATATAGTTCTGTTGTAACAAAAAAATTAGGGAAAGAAATTTCACGACATGTTATAACTAAAATGTATTATTTGGATTATGTTCAATAGTGTCCAAAGAGTCTACAGGTTACATTCTAAACGCCACATTTGAAGAGACAGAAAATAGTTTGATTTGCTATTGTTTGGTTTAAGAATACGTTTTAGGCAAGAAATCTCTGTTTTCTATTTAATCATCATGAACTTTGTCTTTGACTGTGGCTGCTAACAATAGTTATTAGACATAGACATGCAGGACAAAGCAATGTCTCTATGCCCATCTTCTGCTCAGCTCAGAGGGCTCTGGTTAAGGTACCAATTCATTAATATTTGATAAGAGTCGATTTGTAGAGGGGTGATCTGCACATTGAATTACCAAGATCTGCATCTGGATGCCAGAGCTTTGCCACTCTCCCTCCCTGTGCAGACCAAGCATCCATTTTGGCCTCATTTGTTTTTCTGTTTCATAGTACAGCTGTGGTAGCAAAAGAGGTTCTGCACGCAAGCCCCTGTTCTATGAAAACATGACCATTGAAGATTTTTCCAGTGTCTAGACACAAGTGAGAGACAAGGACACTGTGGCCTTACTGAATATCTCAAGTGTCCTTACCACTGATTTTGAGAGGTCCAGCATCGTAGTGGCAAGGCTGAAGAACACTCAAGAGTCTCCATGGCATCTCTGCTTGAACCACAACATGCCATGCAGCATCTTAAGATGACCTTTTGTATCTTGCAGGTTTGTTTATAGGGTGTCTATTGTTCACACAGGCGGCATGACTGCAGGGGAGCTACAATGTAAGGTTTCTAGTAAGAATACTGTATTTCCTTGAATTAAAGTACAACTACATATAACTAAATGCCAGGACTCTATGGCATGACACCATGCATCTTTCAGTCGTGCAATAACAATCAAAACCTTGTTATACAAATGAATGGATTTAGTAAACAGAAACACTTGAGAGCTTTTACTTGGAAACTTAT